TTTTTTGGGAGACAAAGAGTCCATGTTCCAGAATCAGAAATATTTGAATGGAGAATTTACATGAACCTGAGGCAGAAATACTTAATGCACATAAGCAGGACCATTCTAATGCACTATCAAAAAACATCTACTGAGGTTGCAAGTATTAGAAGCTATATAAAATGTAAAATGGTAAAGTTGTCCCTGTGCTTACCTAATTAAGCACTTCACCATGAAGGCATATGGGGGAATGGATATATAGATCCATATTTTCTTGACTTCAGCACTAGTTGGAGGTGAGTGATCAGCTTCATGCCCCGGTTGCTTTACCCTTGGGGAAAGAGGTCCCAGTACCCATTGGATAGGAGGCTGGCTGGGCCCCAGAGCCAGTCTGGACAATGTGGAGGAAGTGAAAATTCTTGACTCTACCAGGGCTCGAACTCCAACCCCTCGGTTATCCAGTTCATAGTCAATCACTGTGCTACACTGGCTCCTCTTGAGAAGTTATATATGCGTAATAAAATCTGTAACTTCTCAGTTCAGATAATACTAAAGACATTGAGAATGTTGAATTACCCATTACTTTCATGTCTTGTGGACTGACCCAAGTACACAAATAAGGGCTTATATCATATGTAATGGCATTTCACAAATGAGAATCGACTGTGCTGTATATAGGTCACACTCCTATTTTTGAACTTAATAAAAAGGACAACTTTTACATGCATAAATATGGTGTCCTATAGTGGGTATGAACAACTAACTCCATGGAGCAGAATTCTTGAGAAGTTAACAGTCACTCAGTTTGTCAAGAAATTCGTGCCATAGCTCAAGCGGTTAGTCGCTGGTTTCCCACCGCAGCAGCCTGGGTTCGATCCCGGGTCTGGTCAAGTGGGATTCGTGGTTGACAAAGTGGCGCTGGAGCAGGTTTTCTCCAAGTACTTCAGTTTCCCCTGCCAATCTTCATTCCACCAATTGCTCCACAATCACCCTCACCTATCATCTGGGGCTGGTACAATAGGCCAGAAGTGGCTGCAGTACAAGGGACTTAGTCCCACCCCACTAGCGATAAAAAAAATAGTCAAGAAATTCCACTCTTGTTATGGAATCCAGAAGTTCATTTCTATGTTCACAACAGCTCAGTGCTAGGCCCTCATGAGTCAGATGAATTCAGTCCTCACCTTCCTGCCCAGTTTCTTTAAAATCCATTTTAATGGTATTCTCTCATCTGTACGTAGGTCTTTCAAGTGAGTTCTTCCCTTCTGGTTTTTCCATCCAAAATTATGTAAGCATATCTGACATCTCCTATGCATGCTATGTACTTCACTTATCCTCAGTTTGATCATCCTAATAGTACACACTAAAGAGTACAAAGTGTGAAATTTCCTGTGACACCTGTTTTCTTCTTCCTGTACTTTGTCTCTGTTATGTCCAAATATTCTCAGCACCCACCCTCTAACTGTGCTCTTGCTTTAATGTGAAAGACCAACTTTCGCACTCAGACAAAACTACAGGTAAAACTCTAGTTTTATCTGTTTTAATCTTTTTGTTTCTAGATGATAGCAAGTGGGGAGACTCATAATGGAATGATAGCAGCCATTCTCTGAATTTAATCTGCTTTTATTTTTCACGAATGCGGTTTTGATGTGTTAGCAATCATTCAGTTGACAGCACTTTCAAAGGATTTGTTAGCTGTCACTCTGTTATGATTTAGTCCTGAATTCTGGTGATAAGATCTGAACATGTACTTTGTTTTCTTTATTTTTGCTGCAAGCTCAGCATCCTTACTAGCATTTAATAAAGCTTCTGTGTTTTTCTTTGTGGTGGTGTAAACCCCTACACTTGGTTATGTTCCTTTGAGCTCATGCAAGTATGGAATTTTAGATGTTGAGATTATAATTCAGTGGAAAATAATGGGTTTAGGTTAATGGCATGACAAAACATGGTGAGTGTAGAAGTAAAATATACAAGAACAAGGACAGTATTCTGTAAATTATAATTTCAAGGTGTGGGTGGGATGTAGCCTCAATCTGTCTTTTACATACCAGGGTCCTCTCCATTACAGAACTGCATTCCACCATTCTGTCTGTCAGTGTCTGCTGCAGTTTCGTTATTTCAGCCAGAGCTTTGAGGTTTTCAGTCCACAGATTAAGTATTTTTTCCAGTCTGTTGATTTATCTCACCAACACCACCAGTTCAGCACTTCTTGGAGTCCTTCCTGCAACACTGTTCCTAATTTCCTTTTTCATTTTTCTATATTGACCCTACAGTAGTTTTGTTTTTTTTCAGAATATTGGCCAACTGCAGATGCATGCTCAACTGTAGTCAGTTTGTATAACACTTTCAGTTTCTCACCTGAATGAATAAATTTTTTCACGTTTTTTGGAGTAAGAGCATTTGCAGCAATTTCCTGTAGCGTGGGCATGAATAAGGGCAGATAAAGACAAATGAACCAAATATATAAATAGAAAACTGAGAAGCATTTTGCTGTGATGTCTTTATACTGCATGGATATTGGAGCATTAAGTTTCTGAGACTGAAGTAGGGGGACATCACATGCCTGCGTGGCTGTGAACCAAGTTACCATATTGTGGCAGCGGACTGACATATTTCTTAGGCCATGGGTTACAGATGTATAGTAGGTACACAAAAAATATACTGTGAACATGGAGAAACTGTTAGTTCCCTTTAAATATGAGTCCCTCCAGATTTTCTTGGGCCTTCCAAACAGGATATTCTGAAGCTAAGATGAAAATCAGTGGCAATACAGCAGCTTATTTCAGGACATTCTGGATTGGGAAATGCATCAGACAGGGGTTTACCTACATGGACTTCACAATGGCTTTTGTTTAAAAATATTACAGTTGCACTAAAAAGTTTCATGGGTATACTGAATTCAGTGAGAATGTTTTACAATACTGCTGTAATAAAGGAATCACAGATTTTCTTGAAGTCTGTAAACATGTACTCCCATTTTCTTCTGCACTATCACACAAACACTGATTATCAGAATCGTAATGGATCTAATGTGTCAAAATTCACATTGATGATCCCCAATAACTTCTTTTACATATGGAATTAATCTTGAGAGAAAAGTGTTGGATGAAATTTTATGTGTAGTTGGTGTATGGTGATTATGATCACACAAAGTCAGAAATGGCAATTGTATATTGTGTTTTAAACAAATTTGCTTTGGAAGATTTAGTGTGAACATTGCTTTTTACATTTCACAGCCTCTGCATTTGACTTCAGAAGTATGTTTCCCTTTTTCTTCTTTTAAGGAAACTCATTTGACATATAGAGGGTGTGACTGAAAGGTACAAACTTTAGGCATGAGTTCCACATATCAAAACAATAAAAAATGTCCATATTTTCATGATTTTAGAATGATTATAGACAGGTTTTTGATTTGTAATTGGATTTGTTGAATGCTGACATCGGAACTACAAGTAAGTATAGCACTGTCACTAATTCACACACTCAGCAGTTCACTACAGCATATACTAAGTCTTCTCAATCTGCTGTCTCTTCACCGGTCATTGCCTGGTGATGGATTGTCATCTGTTTCTGCACTCATGTTCTTACTGGCTGGTGACCATCTCACAACTAACTCATTGCTCCAGCTGTCCTGCTTATAACATCTTAGTGCAGATCACACAGAAAACACCATTCCTCTATTGCTGTTTCCAGTTGTTGCCATGCAAACATGCTTCTGTTGTACAGCTGTTTCTTTTGCAGTCACTGTTGCCTGGCAACGGTTCTGCATGCCACAATATCAACATGTGTCCAGAAATACCCAATTTGTGAGTTATAGCTGAAAGAGTACATTATAATAAGTGCTCAAAATGCCTTCCATGGGGTTCAATACACACCTCAGCACATTTCCTCATGGACTGCTGCATCCATTTAAAAATGCTGGGGTAGTTGGTGGAGTGCATCTTCATTGTCAACAGGAGCTGCATACATAAGGGATTTTAGGTGCCCCCATTTGTAAAAATTTGGAGGATTCAGATGTGGTGAGCTTGGAGGCCATGCAGTGAGTCCTCTTGTACCTGTCCATTAGTCATAATAGGTGTTGTTGAGAGCATCTCGCACATCATGGCAAAAATGTGCCTGAGCATGTACCATATTTGTAATTGTAATTTATTTCGAGTTCCAGATGATCCAATAAAACTGGTTACAAACCATAGGATATAGAACATGTCAAATATTAATTAAAATATGTCAAGATAAGCAGAAGAACATAAAAGTACAATACAGTCATAAGTACAGTTCAGGTATAAGTTGAGCTCAAGTAAATAGAACATGTCAAAATTATAAAGCAATAAAATAAATGATATAAAAGACAATAAGTATTATCGTAAATACAATAAAACTATTATACAAACAGACTCATATAATTCAATATAGAGTAACTAACATACTATTCATATAAAACAATTAGTTTACAACATCATTCATTAACACTATAATACTCCTCCAAGTCATAAAAACAATGGGTAATCAAGTATCTTCTTAAAGAAATCTTAAATTGCTTGTGTATCCCAACAGTCCCTGTTATTTCAAGAGGCAGATTATTAAATAACTTTATACCTGTAAAGTAAACACCTTTTTGGTACAGTGTTAAGGTGGAAGTTGGGAGATATAAGTTACTACTCTGCCTTGTCTGGAGATTATGTGCATCATGATTAGTAGTGAAAAGTTTTCTATTCTATGATACAAAGAGCAAAACTGAATAAATATATTGTGACTTCAACGGTAAAATTCCAAGCTGCCTGAAAAGATTTCTACATGAATGCCTATTACAATATCCTGTCATTAAACGAACTGCTTTTTTTTGTGCTCTGACTACCAGTGGTACATCTTCCAGCAGCTTTGACAAATCATGTAAGAGGAAATCTTGGCAGTGGTTGCATGTAAGCAGATGTTGCAAAACATGCGGGCCCACCAAACAAATCACCAACAGTCTCTTCCCATACATTAATGCTGAACTGCTGCTGGTAACAGCTGTAACCCACAAATTGTTTCCAGACACATGTTGATATGGACATATCTTCTTGTTTAGGTATGTGGAACTCGTGCCAAAAGTTTGTCCCCATCTTTCAATTACATCCTATATAAAGTAACCCTAACAGTAGTATAAGCATAAGACTGGTTACTTAAATCTTGCTTGTTGTTGGAATTTGGCAAAAAGATACATTTTCTATTTTGTCAGTGCTAACAACGACTGTAGCTTGAATTTATTTGATAATATTCAGTTGTCTGAATGCATTTAAATGTGAGATACTTCCTGTCAGCAGAGTCCTTGTGTGATTTAAATGCTGTATGAACAAAGGTTAAAGAAATTTGAATTGTAAGATGAATGTTCAAGAGATACTGGAACAGTAGTTTTATCCTCTTTTGAAACTCTCAGTATGGCATATGATGTAACTACAGTAATAATATTTCAGGTCTGGACAAGATAGAATTCCTGCAGTCACATGAGAATATGGAAATATACCAGAAAGCATTTGACATCATTGAGCATTATTTTGGAAGCGAGGAGGAAGATTCTCATGTGGCTCCATCAGTAGATCAGGATGCACAGCAATACCAGTTCAATGCAGACCAGAGTGTTCCTATGGGAGGATTCCAGTTCTGAATAGGCTGCCCAGCGTCTGGCCGCTTTATGCCTATGGGCTAGTCGCTGCTTACGTAGGAGATCAATTTGTCTGAGAAAAGACAAAAAGTACCCCTCAAGAAGAGGAAGTATAAAGAAATATATATTATCAGTAATAAGAGAAAACTAAAAAATGTTTGTATATAGAATGGTCAAGAGGTTATGAAATGGTTACAGATGTGCTTTTGTTTAAAGGTGACAACGTGAGTGCCGAAGATAAAAACACATAGGATTCAATAAATTTGTCATGCATAAAAACACCAAAATAAGTAAGATGTGCTTGAAATGAAATTAAAATTGTTCTTTCAGGTTTGTGAACTTATAAACCATATCAAGAACTACAGTAATGAAGCTTTCTGAAAATACTAATGCAGATACACAAGATAGGTAGATATACAGTCTCCTGTAAAATATATGATGGTGTTTAGTTTTCTCTTATTTACAAACAGAACCTTGATTAGGAAAAGTTTGCCTATGCGGTTCAGTGTTTTATGCAGTGTGAATAATTGTGATCTTGCTTTAAGCAGGTTAAAGAAATGTTCACTGATTGTAATTAGAAAACCAAGCAGACCTGTGAATAATTTCATGATGATTTGGTTTGTTATCAGTTTCCCTCCTCCTGTGTTTAATCTGAGATCTTGGAAGTGCTTGATAACTTGCATAAGAAGAAAGTTATAACATAGGTCATCGGTTTAGAAACAAACAGTAACCAAACATTTTAAGTTAAAATCAGGTTTGAATTCCTGTTTTCCACTCTTGATAGAGTGGCTGTGATTAGTGCTGTGTCTTGTCATTGTACATGAGAACTTTAGAATGATTATCGATACAGGGAGATACCAAGGCAATGACTTATACTCTTGATGTAGAAAAAAATTCATTTCTTTATGAAGCCCTGCTAAGAAAGAAGACAGTAGGGTTATTGGTGTGAACCTGTCCAGTTTAAACACTCTGGAATGTTTAGATTGTTTCCAAATAAGATCTGATAGAATTTATAGAATTTGATAAATGTGATTTTCCTTTGATTTGCCCAAAATCATATCATGTTATGATAACATTTCTTTAAAGAAAATCAAGAGTTGAATCAAATTATTCTTCTATCTATACTGACTAGTGCAGGATTCATAGTGTTCCTTTGTTAAATATATTTTTATTCTTCTTGCTAGCTTCAGTCCCTTAAAAATCGAGCACACTATTGGTATCATGTCTTTTCCATGAAATAGTTTACATTATTTTTTTTTAACTACAATACCCTGCTTAATAGTTTACCACTGTGGATCTTAATCCTCATCTCCCACTCAGAGGCCTGTGTTAGATTGTAATTTAATTTTGACATGGGTAACAAAACTTGATATTCTTGACTTCCATTTCTGTTATGTTATTCAAATGATTTGTAATACAGTTCATTTATGCAATATAATAGACAAATACAGTTTTTCTTACTACAACTTTCAGGTTAAGCATATGCAGGCATATGCTTCCAGATGCTTTTTATACACAGATCTGCCACAGGCCTCTCCCTTTCCCTTGTACCTTAAACTCTATGACAAAAAGAAAAGTGTAGGACTTTCTTGTGTGACCAAGACCTTGACTGTGCTGGAGCACATACCAAATTGAAGGCATGTGGCAAAGCAATGTCTCATGCAACTTACTTGCAGGGGATTTTGACGTGTTTGCTGCAGTTTAAGAGAAGGTAGCCAGATATTTACTAGTAAGGAGGTACTCATAGGTGAGTACAGTAATGATTCATTACAGTAATTCACTGAATGAAGATTGAGTGAATATGCAAAAGCAATATGAAACCAAAACAATTCTCCATTTAACATCTAGAGATTTTTTATTTGTACATTATTTTGATACCACTTGGTGCTCTTAAGACTTCTTCTCTTTGTATATAGGATACTTTGAAATATGAGAAGTTAATCCATCTTGTAAAGGTAATTAGTGCAGAAGAAACATTATATTTATTACATGGATTTGACTGATTTGAGGCTCATTATGTTTTGGATTTTTAGTTCCCAACTTATTAATGGACCTCTCAGATCCAGCGCTGAAGGATCTTGAAGCTGTTGTGAAAAGGTATTTTGCTAATCTCAACTCTGACACAACAATCAGACTAGAATAATCTGAATCAAGACTGTTTCTCCTCTTACTTCTGTGACTGAAGACAAAGTGAATATACGGTATTACTTAATTACATATTGTATGCAGTATGTTTAAAAGTGGTACATTATCAAGAAGTTATTGTGAAACTGGTTTTTTGTAACTTTTAATAAATTAATCTGTGATATGTCTTAATGTTTGGAAGTTTTCATCATCCCAAGATGAAAACAGTGGAATATTCTTTGCCTCAAACATACTGTCTACAAATGGCCAGAAATTGAAGGTAATGTTAATGAAAATTTCAATCCTAATTTTTTGTAGTGAAGAAACAAAATAGTGTTGTTTCTGAAATTACACTCTTGTGGGAGTGTAAATTACTGAATTCAGTAATTGCCTTTGAAAACAAAACTAGTCAAGTCATCACCTCATTATATAAAAGGAATAAGAATTTTAATAATAATATTTCTTGAGATGTTGCTAGTGGTTTGTACTCCCATAAAATCTTCATTAAAATTAAAATGATAAGAAGAAAATGGTAAATCAAGAGAGCAAATGTGTACACAGACAGTAAATATATTGCTTCAAATAAAGTGAAAATGAAGTTCATGTGTTCTATAATGGCTTATTGCTATGGTTAAATGGGGCACCCATCTGTAGCTATAAGCATGTGTTCCTGTTTGTCAGATTATAGTATTATATTTTCTGCTCTGCTCAGCAATACAAAAGCAGTGGTGGACCATGATAATGTTCATTCCCCAGTTCAGATCAGAAACACAAAATGTAGGATTTGGGGTTCTCACAGTGATGGTTATGAGGAGTCCTGTCTTCTGGGGTACAGCACTGTGTAGTTTGTTGAAAGTCAACCAACAATTTGGAGGAATATGTCGCCTCCATCTTGAGGGTCAAAAATAGCAAGCTGCTACTTCACGCTGGTTTTTGGTTGACATATTCTTCAACCTTGAAGATGGGGGCAACATATCCCTCCAGAATGTTGGTTGTCTTTAAACAGACTACATGGTGTTATATCCCAGAATGTAGGACTCTTCAGAAGCACAGAAAATTATTAATCTTCGTTTGTCATGTCTATTTGACACTGGTCGCATGAAACTTTTTTTTTTCAACTCCAGGGTATGCTTAATCTCAGAAAATGCCTCCATGAGTGCAGTGCTTCTTTGCCATTGCTATTCGAGAGATGGCTTTCCTGTTACATGGACTTACAGTGATGTGTGATTTTATGTAATACTGGAAACCACAAGTGGGATCTGAATCCATGCCAGGGCAACCATAAGACTGAAAGTATATATTACATAACACAGCTGTGCCCATTATGTTTGAGTAAGAACATACATTCTTTCTATATATGTGATTCTTACTGGACTATCATGTTTGCACTTGACTTTCTGAACTTTCTTAAAATGTTGTGTAATCTTAAGTTCTCTGACCTAACACTGGATACTCGCTATTACATATTGATATAAGTACTCAGATTCATACTCTTTATTTTATAAAATTATGTAGCTGTTATGTTTGCCTCTCACTCTAATATTTAGGCTGTTATTGCCATAATAATCAGATGTGAGCAGACAGCTGGAAATTTCAGAATAAATTCCATATAAACAATGTATTAGTCATGCAGATTATCATGGATGAACATAGAGAAACCATAAGATTATACTATGGCCTGAGTGCACAAGGGGGTTGACACGTGCTGTCTTGCATGTGCCTCTTGTTTACAGTAGATTCCAGACCTTCCCTTCCTCAACTTTTCAGGGAACACCATCAAGTCTACTTACAAAGGTGCATACTATACTAGAATGTGTGTGGGCATAAAATTATGGTTGGAAGGCAAGGACAAGTCAGTTGAGTCTCATTATGAGCCTGAAGCAGATGTGCGCAGTAGTGCAAGAGAAACAGACATGCCGTGAAATGCAAGTAGTTGGAGATAAGAGAAACTGATGACAGATTGTAAGTTGCTGCTAGCAGTTAGATAGTAATCATTCCTAACTTAAGTGTTAAACTGGTGTCAGAAGTGGAATTCAAGATCAGTTCAATATTACAGGTGGTTTTGGAGCACTTGATAGAACTCAAAAAGGTCATAAATGCCAGCCAAGAAGAACTTAAAAAGGAACTGAGCACTAGCCAAGATAAATTGGTGGCCTGTCAAGAACATAAAAAGGACATATGCACTGGCCAGGAAGAACTAGAAAGTGAAATATGTGACATAAAGGCTGCCCAAAGTGAATTTGAGAAAACAATAAGACGTGCCAGACAGACAGTTAAATGATGTTTTGGCAGTGGTTAAACAGCAGCCTCAAGATCCTCACAAGAAGTTTGGTAGTGAGCTGTTGGTGACATAACTCAATGCAGAAGTGACTCAACACAACTTGGAAGCCACACATCAGGTGTCTGAGACACAGTTGGCATTGGTGGAAGCCCATACAAGATGTGGAGGCAGCGGAACGCAAGGACCAGCACCATCATGCTGAAGCCACCAAAGCTTGACTGTTCCACATCTTGGACAGCCATGCTTAACTTGCCATTCTGCAGCATCCCAGCTGAAGTGACATACAGGGATAGCATTAGGGCACTGAAGAGCCACTGTGGAGACCACAAGCTGGTGGTGGCCTGCTGGTTTCAACTTAAAACTAGTTGAGTGAAGTTTCTACAAGAATTTGTAGCAGCTGTTGAGCAGTTAGTCTGCTGGGCTCTTGTTAACACTTTGTGGACCGGCGATTTAAACATTTAAATCACCCTGGGGACTGGCATTTTTAAACCTACTACCCTAACTTGTGCACTGTTCACTTTAAAAATTAATATAAAATCTCCTAATTAATTTTATGAACTAAAATTTTTGGAACACACTTACCAATGCTCCTAGAAGTGCTTGAGAGTGTGATATTTCTGGAAACATTCCCCTTTGTGAAGTGGCATTACACAGAACTTACACATGTAGACAGTCATACTCCTTTTGTTGTGTACTGTGCAAACATGGCATCGCCTAGAAGGCCGCTTCACCTTGGCATGTTAACTCTTCACAGTTTTCACGAGGGTATGTTTTCGCATATCACCTGAGAGTTGCGCAGGGGGCTCCACATGAGGCCTGCGTGGGGTGGCAGTTGATGGACCTGGTCGCACTAAGTTTGTGTCTGCCGCCACCGTCTGGTCTGTAGCCCAGGCTTTTGCCACATTCAGCAGAAATGCCTTGTATTTCATTTTTGAATGATTTTTGAAAACCAAAAATAAATTGAAAATGGCACAATTTATAAGCCACAAGGCAACTTTCTTTGTCCACTTTACTGTTTTCCGAGGAAGAGAATAATAGGCCAAGTACTGATCGGCTCTATCAACTCCCTTCATGAACATATTATACTCAGAAATACAAACAGGCTTCTTTACCTGTCCATGTCTCCTTTGAACATCAACTATGCTCAAATTGTGAATTGTGGAAATCATATTCACAACATGAGTATCACTCGAGGACTGAAGAAGAATATCCCCCTTCCTCCTGAATGTGGTTTCACGGATTTACATTCCTCTTTCAGATGTGGAGGAAGGCCTCTGTTCACCCTAATTGTTCCACAGACAAGTACTTTTCTCGAAAGTAGGTGTTCTGCAGTTGCCACACTGTTATAATATTTGTCTTGATAGACATGGTAATTTTGATCAAGATAGGGTTCCAAAACAGCAAGAATAGTTTCTTGTAATTTCTTTCTTTACCAGAATAAATTTTTAAATTTCCAATATAGCCTGAAGTGTTTTTAGTAACTACATGAACAAGTAGGCCATACTTTGTATGTTTCCCAGGATTATATGTTCGCATGCGAAGCCTTCCCCTCCAAGGAATCACAGATTCGTCCAAAGACAGTTGTTGGTTTGGCATATAAACTGTCTGAAATTTCTGAACGAAAAAGTTCAATAAGGGTTGAATTTTGAAAAGCCTGCTTGTTGATTGTGGTTGCAGTTCATTATCATTGAAATGCAAACACCACCAAATTTGCTCAAATCTCTTACGGCTCATTAGTTTGCCGAAAATTGGAATTTCTAAAAATGGATCTGTTGACCAGTACTCTATCAGATTATCCCTCCTTGTATGGCCCATTAGAAAGATTATTGCAAAAAATTTTCTCATTTCTGCTGAAGTGACATCCACCCACTTCAATGCCTTATAACTTCTGTCATAATGTTCACGGTGTTGGAGATAGTATCGGTTAGTTTCCTGACATAGCATGTCAAAGAAACTATCTCCAAAAAACAGTTCTGCTACTTCAGACACTTGTGTTGGGGCCGATGGAATTTGCTTCACCCCTGGATTTCCAGTAAACTGTCCCAAAGCAGGCGTTTTGTCTACTTTTCCCCATGTGGCTGTCCCCACAATGTTGCTACCCGCACTTTCGTTGGAGCTACTTTCACTTTCACTTTCACTGTCTGTGGCCACAATTTTTTGTTCGCCCCTACCACACTCACTATCAGATTGTGAGTCGCTGTCACTAGCAGACTCACAAGGGATGTCAGATAGCTCATCGGAGAACAAGTCAGATATTTCTTGTTCTCCGAGAAAACACTTGGACCTCAACCTCTTCCGACCTTGATCCATTCTGCACTAGTAGCTTCCTGCCTGGTGCGTGCAGCTGGAAGATGAACAAAGACATTTTCTTTTGGAGTGGGAAAGGAAAACAGTTGGGTCATGTTACTGACTACGAAGCAAACATTCAAATGGTCTCTCACGCACCAGTCATGCGTCTGCCTGGCGCCAGTGCAAGGTATAATGTGTTTCAACATAACATGTCCTAAAATCAAAATAATATGCCACCGGTCCACCACGTTTAAAAGCACTGGGCATAAAAATATGTCACCGGTCCGCAAAGTGTTAAGTTACCCAAGGACTCCATCCAGAGGGAGGCAGCCTTTGCATTCTTCAGTGGAGTGAAGAACTAGGAAGTGAAATAGCACCTTGTGTGCAATGAGAGGTCACCAATCACCTAGCTCCTCAGGACTGGACAACCTATATGCTGGCAGTATGGTGACATAATATTTGAGAAGAGGCTGGAGTATGACCACAGTCATTTCCCCATTTGATGGTCAGCAACAAGCTGATACCTGCTCGTTGTGGGAGAGTTGTGATTATGAGAATAGAGGTCCTCGTGAAGATGGCAAAAATCCTAGCGGGACCAAGTTTGAATGCTGCTAGGATAGCTAAACATCGCGAGGGGCAGGACCATACCAGCAGAGCTGCACTCTCTGGAAGACCCTACACTGGCCTGTGTAGTAATCTCCACATCTATACAAGGTAAGTACTCCCCAAGTATTATTTTCATCAGTACATTATTGTGTGATTTGTATTTATTAATTCAAGGCCTTCTCTGAATGACGTGCCCAGTATTTCTGGCTGTAAACTGATTTAGAGAGGAGAATATTTGGACCGAAGAGGGATGAAGTGACAGGATGTGGGAGAAAACTGCATAATGAGGAGCTTCATAACTTGTACTATTCTCCAAGTATAATAGAATGATCAAGTCAAGGAGGATGAGGTGGGTAGGGCATGTAGCACAAATGGGGGAGATGAGGAATGCATATAGGATATTGGTGGGAAAGCCATAAGGAGAGAGACCACTGGGAAGACCAAGGCATAGGTGGGTGGGCAATATTAAAATGGATCTTAGAGAGCTAGAATGGGATGGTATGGACTGGATTTATCTCGCTCAGAATATGGACCAGTGGAGGGCTCTTGTGAACATGGTAATGAACCTTCAGGTTCCATGCTGGTAAATTCATGAGTAGCTGCAGATTTGACTTCTCCTCATGAAGGGCTCAGTTCCATAAGTAAGTAAGTAAACTGTTTTAGAAATTGGCCAATGTGTAATTCTGTTCCCTTGACAGAAAAAAAAGACTTTTCACTGATTGGGAAAGTCTTATTTGAGCCCTTAGTTACTTTTTCAATTTTTATTTTGTCTGGAAATATCCATACAATTTGGCCTTTGCATTTTCCCTGCATCATAATTATGACAGTATTCTCAAAGACCTTAAACTTTAAACTGACCGTAACTGCACAACCCCTTCCAACTTTTCATAATTGCATGAGTAAAGGGAAGTGCTACACATATGATCAGACAGCAGCTTTTTCACACTCTGGCTAAATACATCCTAAAGGAAAATAATTCATGGTGTCTTACAGAGAAAAATGGATTGGAGTCAAGATCAATCTGGTCATGGAAATGATAACTGCAACACCCTTTACAATTACTGTATTCCAGATAGCTGCTTTAATCCAACTTAGAACCATGAACCTGTATTTGATGGAAAAATTTCCATACTGTCCACACTAGTTCTGAGGCCCACCCAGCAGGCATCGGGAGCTCCTTCCCTGGATGTAATGCAGCTGCGGCATAAAACTGACCAGACATCTCTCTCTAGTAAAGACATTAAAAATGAGTGGCGAAATACCTCCACTCCCCCATATGTCTTCTTGGCGTGGCACTTCAGCATAGGCACCAGTACCTTCTGTCTTACTGTAACAGAATTCCATACCATATTCAATTTCTAACATCTCATAACCAAACTGCTATCCCAGAAACACAATTTTTGATGGGAAAATTTGTGATGTTTTTGTATTACAGCAAATGCTGGCAGCATACTGTGTAGAGAGATGCAATTCAGCAAGTGAAAATGTGAGAATATATGGTCAAGTTCACCACCAACATCTACATTTCAGTCTCAAGTTCAGTCATAAATGGAAGGGCCCCTGCAATACAGTTGGTAAGATTTACTTATTTTGTATTATGTCTAACATTCTCCAGACATCCAAAGTAATTGCATTTCATATTAAGATCATAGAAAACTGTTAGCCTTCCACATTTTGGCTTACTTTAAAAATGACAATGATTATTATTTAGGAAAGCAACAAATATTTTCAATTAAATAGTTGCTTTGCTGTTTATTTTTGTCGACATGGCAACATATTCATCAGCACTGTGTGGTATGAAGCATAAGCATGTTCCTGTGATGAAAATGGAAATTAACCAAAAGCTGGAATTCTGAGTAATTATATAAAAGTTGTATTTTTGCAATTATTAAGAACCGTTTTTAACTCTTCTCCACATACACACACCCACACGCAATAAAATTGAAAACTTTCTCTACTTTTGCATACCAGACTAACTAGTTTGTACCAAAAAGGAGATTGACAGGATAGGGGAAAATACACTAGGAGTGTTTAGCTTCTGAAATGTGGTTATGAATATGAAATATTTGTAGGCTGTCAGCTGAACTTTCAAGTTCTAAAACTGTAGATTTCTTGAATGGTTACCAACTTCCTAGCAAAACCATATACCAGGGAACAAGTGAATAATCAGGGATAAGCTGCTAGGTAATAAACTGTGATTTTACTAGAAAAATTAACCATATACATTTCAATGGACAGATTAGTCAGCCATGTTTCTACTGTTAGGGAGCTATATGGTTCATAATATAAACAATGACAACAAATTTAAGTTTTCATATTTCTCATAGTACCATCAAGCACATGCCATAATCACTTCTGCCCACATCCACTTCATTTCACTGTACATTATTAATCATCTTTTTGGATCATTGTTACATAACCTCTACAGTTCTCAGATTATGATACAATTTAGTCTTATTAATGGATAACCAACATTTTAGAGGAATATACTGCCTCCATTTTCAGTGTTGAATCCTAAAGATGGAGGAACCACCTTCCTCTGAAATGTTGGTACCCACTGATAAGACTACACTGTATCAAACCCAGAAGGCCATAATCTGAAAACATGCCACCGAGAAAACCTAAAATGTTAACCTCTGTTGTTGAGGCAGCAACTTAAAAATAATTTGGTCAGCATTTATATCAGTGGGTTTTTATTACCTGTTTTAAAAGAAAGGGATCTTTCTGAAGTAAATTGTCTGCAAACTGTTCTGAGTTTAAAGCCATTCATTTTTACAGATCTTCAGGCCACTAAGTACAGAAGTTGGCATAACAATGATATGTAAAATATTTAGGAAATACCAGTTTTGAATTCCAAGCTACCCTGACTGAATGTACAGTGACATCATTCTACACTGAAAGTGTTTTGTCTCTGTACATCCATAGCTTCAGAGAAGTCAGTATGTGTTTCTCCCTCCCCCCTACATCTAATTAAATCATATAACAGAGGAGACTAGTATAAAAAATAACTGAAACAACTGAGTGCCTGTTTGGAATACCATTTTTATTTTGTTTTTGATATTTACAATATAAATTATTTTGTACCATGAACTCAATATGTGTATCTTCAATTTAAAAAACAAAATACTGCATGAAAATCATATTATCTAGTTTACTCAGTATAATGAAAAATTAAAAATATGTTAGAATATTTATTTACATCACGAAAGTACAGTCCCAGTTCAGTTATGGCCATAACTGTAACAACTGTAACAGCAGGTATTACTTAAAACTAAATTAACTTAAACAAACTGAAGAGTACAATCTTCTGGGTTGTAACACCATGTAGTCTGGAGACAACCTCACAATTTAGAGGAACATATCACCATCTTAAGGGTCGAAGAGTAAGCCAAGCAGAGAACTCCAAGGCCTACAACCCAGAAGATCATAATTAAACTTAAATTCATCCAATATATCAATTCCATACTTAACATTACGAATTTCACTAGAAATGTGTCCAGGATGAAAATTATTATGTAAGTACTAATGCCACATTTTATTTTTCTTAAAGAGCATTAGCCCACTATGTGCAAATAAAATCACAATGAAGCTAAAAGATGTATCCAGTGATTCTCAATTTTTTTTGCCTCAAATAGACTACTCCTTCTGCAGCAGGGCTAAAGGGAATAAGCACAAAGAATCACTGTTATAATATTAATTACAGATATTCACAAAAAGCATATAATATCTCAACTTTAAACATTATAACAAATTATAAAAAATGCTTTCTAGAAGAGCAGAAAATTGACAACATGTAACTTTATTACATAATTTTCAGATATCTTACCAGACATCATTATTTAACCACAGCCATATTAAGAAATTTTTTTTTTAAATATCTACCAAGGCAAAATATGGAAATCTTAATTCCCACTTTAATGCTGAATGGAACACATGTACAACAATACTGTAATGACTTTAAAGATGTTCTCTTTCTGGAACTATAGCTCCTTCTGGACATGACATATGATGCTTTTCAGGCATTATTACCAAGACACTATCTGTGATTCGCACAATTAGAGGCATTAATTGATCTCTATCTATCTGACCATTCCACAACTTCCGTAATTCCTTCACTGCCAAGCTGGTGGGGTTGTCCTGAGCATGGATAACTCCTGAAGCTTTCATAGTAAATAAAAAAACAGCCTTATCTACAAGAGGTGTCACAGTGTCACAGAAACAATAGAAAGATTGGGCCACATTAGCAGATACCTTATGGAGATCTTTTACTATCATTGTGCGCCGCTCTTCTACCATGGGGCGATATTCCTCCATCAGTATCCCATAGTCTTCACCAAGTGTCTGATTTTTCTCAAGGTTTGCTCCATCTAAGACAATAGGATTTTTGTTTTTAGCACTGAGGAAGTGAGCAGATATGTTACCAATCTTCCATGCAAGGCAAGCTGGTGTCTCTCCTTCGGTCTCATAAAGCAGCACAAATACGGATGGCTTTGCAGGTGTTCGTTGTACGTCTTTGATACCAGCTAAAAATGCTATCCACGTGGTGTTCAGTTGTGATGGAAACTGATTATGAATATGTTGTATATCCATTCTTAAATGTTTTTCTGCATACTCCTGTGCACCACATGAATTATACTCTTCTGCATACTCCTGTGCACCACATGAATTATACAAGTACACACAGATTCCCACTATGACTACAGTGCATGATAATAATATGGTCCATTTATACATAATGTATGCATGTATCCCAGCCTTTCGTGGTTCCTCTTTTCTAAATACATATTTTGAAGAGCTTTGTGCACATTCTTGAACAGTGTGATATTCCTGTTCTGATTCTGTATCTGAAACATCCTTAATCACAACTTTCTGGATATTTCCATTATCACCATTGTTTCTGCACTCTGGAGGTTCTTCTAGCGGTACTTCTTGCTCCCTTCCATATTTCACATTCTGGTGCCTCTGGTGACTACTGCTTTGGGCCGCATCACTTGTATCCATCTTGTAAAAATGAATTGGTTTCCGTGATCGAGGGCTATAGAGATTTTCCTAAAAGATATTGAACACATTATGAGAAATTATTTTATAACGCATATGTTGTTTAATTTTTTTACATATTTATCTGAAACATTAAAAAGTAAAGAATGCACATTGTCTTTTGGGATATGTAGTGCCATATGGTCTGTTAAATTGTTACTGTTTCGGAGGAACTTCTGACCTCCATCTTCAGGGTGGAAGAATCATTCTTCTACCCTGAATATGGAGGCAGCACATTCCTCCAAAATATCTGTAACAATCTCCAAGACCATTAATGCATCACACCCCAGGAGACAGTAAGCTTCAGTCACTGCTGTAAAATGACAAATTTCACATTCCTTCTGATGGATGCAGTAAATTGAATCTGTGATGCTATATTATCTGACTTAATGGCTTGAATTAAAGTGTAGGATGTTACCTACAGTTCCTCCTTTTTACCATTTCTGGAACCCTAACATAGGATACTACTAAAACCAACCTTCGAGAAATAAGGCGTGAGGAAGTAAATTGGATTCAATCAGCCCAGGATCTCTATCCAATGGAGAGGATTTTGTGATCATTCAAGTTCCATATATGGTAAGGAGTATCCTAACCTGATCAGAAATAGCAAATTATCACGAATGACTGCTCCATAGAGTAGGAAAAATTCAGTCTCACAACAAATGACGAGATCATGCTTTCAACAATATAAAGTCCCAAGTATCCAGAATTAACTTTTGTGAAAATGACCCTGATATGAAAGCATGGTTTAGTGGATTGAAAACACTGCCACTGGGAGCCATTAAGCCAAACACTAGCTGCAAATCCTCAAACATCAGAAGAAGAAACAACTGATCACATGACTACTGGGTTAGGTTATATAAATGGCAAGAATAAATAAATGATGGATGCAATTTGTTACACCAAACTGGGGGGGGGGGGGGCTACTGCACATATTTAAAGCAGACTACAGCCAAAGACACTGAAATTTCCTGTCTAATGAATCATAAATTGGTACATGTTAGGGAGTTCGCAGATGTGGTCAATTTTTAAGTATCATTTCAAATTTTAAAAGAAGAAAACCATAAAAAATCCCACAACCTCAACAACCAAACCCCGAACTTTGCCAAAGAAAAGCAGGAGAAATATAACCACTGTACCACATCTTATTTGTCTGAAATACTGAACCTCTAATTCTAAGTTCGCACTAACTTCAACGACAAGCAGCGGTTGCTTGTTTGGTATAGTTTGCTTGTGGACTAAAGCCACATAGTTTTTTAATCAGAACCAGGGCAGCAGAAATTGTAAATGCATGATCCACTTACAATCAACATACTAAAAACATCAGTTTATAAAAAGAACTGACAAGTGCATACACTTTTACATTATTAAAATAAATGGCATAAAGTTATATGATACATAACTAAAGAACATTCAATCAGTGTTCAGAATAAAATAAGGTGCCCAAACTGCAGAGTTAAACTATGAAACTGAAAGAAGACACGTGCATTCCAACCCTAACTGTGTCATCTGTTTGCTAAGCAATGCTACTATGTATATGCTGTGATGATGTTTCTGAGTAAGTTTTTCTATGGGGTGGGACCTTAAAATTTCATTTATTGAAACTATGCAACCACAGAATGGCAATTTTCTAGCCTTGTTGCCACTGGATTTGCTGAAGTCTTCTGTGCCAAACACACAAGACTACAAAAGCCTCTGTCATGAAGCACTTACCTTCTTTCCTCTTGTCATCATACAACTGCACCTGCAAGAACATATACTAGTCAACATGACAATATCTTCTGTTTCCATGCTTATGTTCTTACTAGCTGGTGACGGTCTCACAACTAACTCACTGTCAAGTCAGAGTCAAAGTCACATTGCAACTGACGGTCGGTCAGTCTGTCTGTCATGACAAGATTTTTTTTTTCTTTATATGAAAGTTACTGTCCTGTCCATTTGGGGCGCCCTCTCTGATGAGAGGTCGGTTCTGTCATTTGTCAGTCATAGTCCGTAGTCAGTATTTACATATATTTACAAATTTAATCTTAATTCCTATTTCTATGTACAATATATACAAGGCCTCTGTCAATCCAGGCTCAGTATAGCAGATTATGCCCTATTTCTAGTGGTATTCGCTACCCCGTCAGTCTAGTCACTTGAACGGTCGTATGCCTGACTGCCGCCAAGTTTAAGCCTCTTATACGTTGTGGTGGGCTTCGCCTTGTCCAATGTTGCTAACATTCTTATTATCACGATTTTGTATGACTTCTGGTTGTTGCCTGCATAATTTTGTTAAACAGTCATATACATATGAGATTCTGAATGCCACGTGCAAATCGTGGATCAGTGTGTACCTTGGAAAATTGCCGATGGTGCAGAGAACCTTGTTTTGCAGGCGCTGCAATTTCATTAGATGGGTGTCTGCCACAAATTCTCAGGCGGGACTAGCATAAGTCATTATGGATCTAATAACAGCTTTGTAGAGGATCAGCTTAATATTAGTGCTCAATCGCTCACTTCTGAATAGGCAATATGCTCTAATGAATGTTCTGAAGGCCTTGGCTTCAATCATTTCTATGTGTAATCTCCATGTAACTCTCTTATCAAAGATTACACCTAGATATTTTGCACTATTTACAAATGGAATATTTTGTCTCTTTAGAGTAAGAATAGATTCAGGCAGTCGACGACTACAAGAGAAACAGACCCCAAGTCTTATCTTCATTAATTTTAATGTTCCAGCGCTCAAACCAGGTCTCCATTGAGCTTAGACCACGCTGGAGTTTTCTGACAATAAATCCCTCCTTGCCATCTGTCGTATACGGACAGGTGTCGTCTGCAAAGGGGGCCAGATGAACACCATGAGTTTGGGGGGCATCATTAATGTACAGACTGAAAAGAGTATGGGACAGTACCAAACCTTGTGGCACTCCTGATTGCATTTCCCTTGGCGTTGACATTTCTCCTTCAACCGAAACCCTGAATTTACGTTGAGAGAGAAATGACCCAATAAGTTTGGTCAAACTGTTCAAGAATTGCAATTTTGATGACTTATACAGCAAACCTGAGTGCCATGTGGTATCAAAGGCTTTTTCGATGTCCAAGAATACTGTGGACGTAGACATTTTATTGTTGAAATTAAGGGTCACATGGTCTGCCAGCCTCACACATTGCAGTGTCATGCTGCGACAAGCATGAAATTCAAACCAGCTTGCACTGAGCAGGTCTCTTTCATCAATGTGTTTTTGGAGCAATTTCAAAATCACTTTTTTGAATAGTTTTCCTGTTGTGGACAGGAGGCTGATTGTACGTAAATTTTGCAGGAATTTCCGGTCTTTACTGGGTTTAGGTAAAGTTATTACTTTTGCTTCCTTCCAAGTGTTTGGAAAATGAGAGAGCCGAAGACAATGATTGAATAATTGAGTTAGGTGAACAAATGGTCGCCTTGCAAGGTGCCTGAGGCATTCATTTGGGATGCCGTCAATTCCGCAGGCCTTTTGCAATTTAAGGGAGTTTATTAATTTCTGTATGTCACATGGTCTGATCCTTTGAGGGGGGTTGTCATCTATGGTTTCAAGCAGAGCTTGAACTCTAGCCTCCACCTGCCATTCATGGTTTTTGTCACACAGGACATGTGGTGTGAACTGAATTTCCAAACAGTCAGCAATTTCATTGGCTTTTTCGAAAGGATGGAATTTAAGGCCAGAAGCACCATGAACAACAGTTGGTGCCCTTGGTCCGTCCCTCTTTAAGAGGGATTTCACAATTGGCCATATACCCTGAGGTGTGACTTCAGTGTTACCTATTTTGTTTCCCACCATTCAAGTGCCTTTTTTCAGGCCGTTCACCTGATTGATTTTGTGACCCAATTGATTGCTGTTTTACATGCTAGATCCCTCGTTTCTTGCCATAATTTTTGAAGCCTCTGCTTATGTTTTATCAAACGATCTAGACCAGGAAGGTCATTGTTTATGTCCAAAACTATTAACTTTACTTGTCAACAATCTATATGCCGAAGCAATAGACACTGCAAATTTTCGTGCCGCTTTATTGGCTTCTACCCCAGACTTAATTTCTATTTTAGGTGATATTAACTCAGAGGCGAGGCTCTGAAACCGCTCCCAATCTGTGAATTTTTCTATAGGTTCCGAAAGATTCCTAAGTTTACGTGATCCAGTATGTGGAATACTATTGGTAGGTGATCTGAATCCAAAATATCTGAGACAATGACATCTGACATTCTGATATTTTTGTGAACCACAATATCCAGCACGTTACAATTTCCTGCAGGGGAATAATGCGTGGGGCACTGTGGTGCTGAAATTTCGAATTCACTCATATCAAACAAATCCACGAGTTTCTCGCCTGAGGGGTTTGAAACTATGCTATTCCAAAATGGGTGTTTAGCATTGAAATCACCTGCCAAAATTGACTTACATCTAAAGCTTAAGAGCTTAGTGATGTCAGCATCAATCCAGACCCTGCCTGGGGATTTATAAACAGCTGCAAGCAGTACTTCACTGTTACCAATCGGTATGCAGAACCCTGTCGCTTCTACTGAAATAAGGGGTGGTAGGTCTACATGGTTATGGGGAATTTCTTTTCCAACTGCAATGGCAGTTCCGCCTTTTCTGCTCGAGTGGCGGTTGGTTCTATAAATGTGGTAGTTTGGAATAAAGAACCTCTCATGAGGTTTCACATATGTCCTAAAAACAGGATCACATCTATGTGTAGATCTTGCAGCTGTTTACTGAGCTCATAGTGCTGCCTCCCAATGCCATTCACATTAAATGCTATGACTCTGAGTCGGCTATGAACTATAGTGGCCATTTTGTTTAACCAGATTTAATACCATTTTTGTAATGACCACTATTTTGTCCTCGTCAGACACTGCATCATTGAACTCTGTCATAATCTGCTGTACTACAGTCACTACTCTCAACATACTGTCGAAAGGTTGACTGATTACATGAGGAGCCTGATCTGACTGGCCTGTTTCTGCAGTGCAGGAGCCAGTACAATCTGCTTTCTTGCTGTGGTTGGACAAACCACTGGAACATGGTTTTCCTGAGGGTGCTTTTGCTGCTGTACTGCGCTGCCTTGGAGTGTCATCACAAAGGAGACACCTGGGGTGACGATGTTTGAGGAGAACACCCTCCTCGTGGTAGTCTTGGGCGCTCTCTGCCCCTTCCTTTTCTGCTGCTCCTCCTTGGCATGTCTGCGACCCCGATAATTGGCGGGATGTGGTTTTTCTCCCTCTGCCAACCAGCAGTTGCAGCATATTGGAGTGGAGGCAGAGTTTCCCTTTTCTGGGCACTCCTTCTGTAGGTGGCCACCTCCGCACCACAAACAACATAGAGGTTGCTTGCAGTTTGCCCAAACATGGCCGAACTGCTGACAGCTGTAGCACTGTGTAAGCCCGTTTTGTGCTTTGTACGCCTCTACCCTGATGGCAATGTGGCAGAGGTTGGTCAATCGGAAGTTCTTGGGACTTCTACGTTCTGGGTTGTGTGATAAGGAACAAGGAAAGGTTGATGGTACTTGTTCCTTCTGGAGGTGTCAGACAACTGGTTGACATTTTTTTGATGCTAATGACATGGACTCACCATTCCATCACAGATATCCTCTGCTGGAGTATTTTGTGGGAGGTGACGGATGACCGCTTTGATGGATTTTTCTATTTCGGGTAATACAAAGAATATGAAAGGTTGTTACCCTCTAGGAATTTTTTTATGGCTGAAAAGCCTGTCAGTTATTTTTTGACAATTCTGATCCTGTTCCTGGTGTTGCAGAACTGAAAACTGCCCGTGACAATGTCTTTGTTTTTCCTCTGCAACTGTATCAGGTTAGTCATAGAGGTTAGCACAATGGGAGGCGGCCTACTTGCCTTGATGCACGATGGCTGCCGCTTTTCTCTGTCTGGCTGTCTCCTCCACAACATCCATTCCTGATGTCCTCAGATTTTTTTTGTCAGTACCTCACCTTGGGATCGTATCCTAGGATCCCGCGGTCCACATGTCAGCTTCGGTCTTTTCACCTATTCCTCTGAGGAGTTTCGCCTGTGTCTCCTTTGTTCGTGAAATTCCTCAGGTGATTCCGTTTGTTCTGGGAGTAGCGAGTCTCACGTTTCCCTGTGTATGGCAGCGTACATGCGCAGAATGGCTGTAAAGAGCGCCTTTCGATCGAGGTGATTATAAAGCACTGTCCTCTCAGCTTTGGATTTTGTGATTAATTCTTTCCATACTGCTCTGTTTCCATTTACAGAGGGTGATGTATGGATAAGCTGCCATATTGTTTCTAGGCCACTATTCAGTAGTTCTATTTCTTCCTGGCAGTCAGGATTCTTTGCATTTAAATCTTTGTGGTTCTTCTCAAAAGACTCCATGATTGCCTTCCAGCATGTTTCACACACTGTCGACTCCGTCATTTTGCTTGCTTACTAGTCCGTATGCAGACAGGATGGTCCCACCACTGACACACCAGCCGCACCACTCTTGTATTATAGTTTAGAGTTTCAATTCAACCAGACAATTCTGTCCTACTGAATAGAAGACACCTAATATGTTGCTTTCTGATATTACGACTGTTGCTCTTCTTTGCGTGTGTTCTCTGGGAAGTCTAAAAATTGAATCACTCACTGCGAGGCCCATTAGCTCAGTTGCTATAGTGTCGTGCTAATCTCCCCCTCTCCCTTAAACACTGAACAATAACTCGTCATTTTTCACTGCACTGTGTCACTCACTCTGAACTCCTAGCTACTCTCTAATCAAATGCTCTATTTCTGCACTCTCTGTCACGTTCTCTCATTGTCAAAGTCACACTGCGACTGACGGTCAGTCAGTAAGTCAGTAAGTTTTGGTGTCGAGACCCATTTGGGGCTCATGACCAGATATTAATTATCTGGACAGTTACAGTCTTGTTTCTGTGGGGCACCTTCTCTGATGAGAGGACGGATCTGTCTTTTGTATATGCTGCTGGTCCTTGCCAGCGCAGTCTTACTCGGGTCCGAGTCCCTTGGGACTTGCGACCATATTTTACTGTCTCAGAATTGAGACTTCCCTTTTCGTCGCCTCCTACGACTCACAGGGTCA